TCACGTAGGTTATCCTTTCTATTCTTTGGCAGGTAAGCCTCATATAACCGTTGATCCAGAATTCCACTATTATATCCGGTTTAGTCACGAGATTACTGCGCCTAATTTGCCAATCCTTCTTTGCCCGTGACAATAACTATAAAACTTACAAAATGAACTTTATATATTTTTGTTGGCCCACCACTTTTTTTTAAAGAAATTTTTGTAATAAGTAGGCATTTTAGCTTACCTTCTCCAAATAATTAATATCATATACACCAAATAAGTCAGTATTGTTTATCTTCTAAATCAGAATATAACAACAAACATGTATACATGCATGCCTTGAATGTAATGAATATCTGTACATACAATGCTCTGAAACTTGCTTTAACCTCTCTATGATTAAGCTGTTCGATAAAGTTTTTTTATTGTGTTTTTACTTTAATATACTAGGTAGATAAATATAAAAGTAGAAACTAGTTTGTCTAGTAGTATGTAATTTTTTTAAGCTATCCACAGTAGTATGAGAATAGGCAAAATTATTTTGATTTGTTTTTTTGATATTCTATTATCCTTTTTTTATATTTGTATATTTTTATCACATCCCCTATATCTCTGTGTTTTTTTGGTTTGTTTTGTTTTATTTGCCAATTTTGCTTCTTGATGAGCAGTTAGCTGCTAGCTAATAAACAACAGGAAAAAAGTTATTAATAAGTTAATAATCTGAAGGAAGGCTAAGAGCTACTGAGACAAATTGTGTCTGATATCTAAAAACATGTGAGTGAGCTTTTGTTCTAGTTGTACCTATTATAGTATATAGATAAGATTTTGTAATTTTTGTATTACTGTGATTTTTAAATGACTTGATCTTAAATAAACAAGAGTGGAATAGCTGAATTAGAAAAAAAAATAAATTACAGTTAAGGTTTAGGTTGCAAATAACTCCTATAACTTTTGAATTAGCAAAAGCTCTGTTTGAGTCTTTAATCTTAATATCTTATAGATATAAAGTTCAAATAATATAATTTCTTTATTTAATTTATAAAGAAGTTTAATTAAATTTTAATAAAGATAGAGGCATGATCTTACCTTTGAAGATAAAAAAAATAAATAAATTACAGTTTATTTATATTTATTGTAATTTACAGATCACATCTCTATTTAGATTTATATTATATTTTATACATTTTAAAGTTATATATAAAAATAATTCAAAATGTTGTTATTAATGATTTTTATAGACTATTAGGATAATTAATCAAATATACAGTATGTTAAATAGCTATAGCATTTAAAATAAGTATTAGAGATTTTTTCATGTTATACAAATAAAGATCAATTTTTAATATTATTTTATACTATATTATAGTAATATATATTGATATATATATATTAAAAATTGATCTATTTTAAAATAATTCAACTTATTATAGAAAAATTGAATTATTTTTAATTTTTTTTGATTTGATTATCAAGTATTAAAAATAAAGTTACACTCAAAGATTCTTTATTGATATATAAAATTTGAAACTTTGACTAATAGGATATAGTAAAGTTTATAAAAAAATTAAATAAACATTGTATTTAAATGTTTAAGTCAAGACTTTCTTAAAAACTTCTATAAAAATCAGATGTAATTATCTTGAAATGATTCTTACAAGTAGTTTTCAGTTAAGAAAAATTAGAGAAATAAGTGCAATAGTTGTGTGATTTCTTTAGAATTTTGCACTTTTTTAATATAAATTAAAAAATTTAATAATAATTTAATTTTTCATGATAAAAATTTAGTTATAGTAAAATGATCAACATAACTTATACTATAGAAAGACTTTCGTATGATTAACTGTTTAAATCAATTTTATTTTATATTATTTATACAGTTTAAAGTACTTTTTTTTAAAAAAAATAAAGCTACGAAGTATAAACAAATAAGTATATAAAAAGTTTTATTTTGGTTGTAGAACTCCAATATTAAAAATCATCAAAGTTATTTTTGGTTTTAGAGAAGTTAGCATAATAGTGACTTCTTAAAGATAGATAGAATTAGTTTATTATCATACTAACTTCTCTAAAACCAGAAATGATTTTGATTATTTTTAATATTGGAGTTCTACAACCAGAGATATGAACTGAATAATGAACAGCTTTGATTTTAAAATTTGCCAAATCTACACAAAGCTATTTAGTTAACATCATACTATATGCCAATTTAATATAAATACAGTATAGAGATTAGAATCAAACTTAATTTTTACATTCGAACTTATTTAATTTGAATTCAAATTAATTCAAATAATTAATATTAATTTACATAATATTCGAATTTATTGATTCGCCTACTGAATCGCATAAATGATTTTAACTGGTAATAACCGTTTAGATCAGTTAGAATACATTTTATGACGGTTAGACCGTTAGAATATTTTTATAACAGCTATAACAGCTATAACAGTTATAACAGCTATAATGACTATAACGGTTATAACAGCTATAATGGCTATAACGGTATAATGGTTATAACAGCTATAATGGCTATAACGGTTATAACAGCTATAATGGCTATAACGGTATAATGGTTATAACAGCTATAATGGCTATAACGGTAAAATGGTTATAATGTTATGATGGTTATAATAGCTAAATTATAGTGTATTGCATACAGTGTATTGCATATATAACGGATTAAAGATTCGATTCCAATCTCTAATACAGTACTGCATGTTAGTTAAATGAACTTTCAATGAAAGTAATAATATCATCTAAGATAGATATCAATAAAAAAAATAAAATTACTGTTTATTTGAGGCAAAATATAATATATTACATAATATATTTTATATACGTAACAGAAAATAAATATATGTTGTATAGTAAAATAATTTTTAAAAGTCAAATATAATGTCGTATTGATAATACTGTGTGAATTTTCATCTAAGTAATTTGAAGTACATAGTCTATTAGGGTGATAAATGGACTAAGTATCAAAACTATATCAGATACCATAGAAAGACTTTCGTATATTGGCTGTTTAAATCAATTTAATTTTACATTAATTATACAGTTTAAAGTACTTTTTAAAAAAATAAAACTACGAAGAATAAACAAAAAAGAAAGTTTTATTAGGACTATTTATAAATATGTAACTGATCAGTTCAAATAACTAATATATTAAATAAATTAGAGTATCATATTAATCATATTGATTCAGAAATAATTTATATTAGTTACTTTAAAAAATATGTAATCGGTTTTTTTAATTATAAATAATCCTGATCAGTCAGACAGGATAGTTCTCATCCGAAATGTCTCCTTCTTCTCGAAAAGCTGAAACAAGATATATTGAAAAAACCAACGGCGGTAAATATAAATGTCCATCTAGAGGTTGTCTCGCTAACTTTACAAATTATACAAGCCTCATTACACATGTACAAGAAATCCACCGCTCTACGGTATTGGGAGTACAATACCAACTTCAATCTGTACAAGCTCAAAATTATCAAAGGAGTGATATTGAATCTTTTAGAGAATCTTATCGTAAAGTACTTGCTGAAACGATACAAGATTTAGAGCTTAAAAAGGAAATATATTTACCTTTAATTGAACGTGGTTGGCCCGTTCATTTAGTATTTGATGAAAGCCGTAGACGTATTTTAGAATTGGAAGAAACTTTCAAGAAATTTAACTCACAACAATTACGTAAAACTGAAGACATTTTGAACAAAAAAATCGCTGCCGAGAAAGAAAAATTCAAAGCTCAATTTATAAAGTAATTATTTTTTATAAAAACATTTGTTTAATAACTTGTATTGATTTTTTTGTTATTATTAGTTTGCAAAATGAAGTTAAAAATGCTAAAGCTGAGCTTAAGTGTACTAGACAGAGGATCGTATGTTTAGAAGACAATGATCAAAAATTAAAGGAAAAATATAAGGAATTAGAGGTAAAATGTTATAGCTTGAAAAAAGAGAATGAGGCTTTACGCGAACATAATAATGATTATTTTGTGACACGGTATTATGAGTCACAACAAGAAATTAGAACATTGCAGAATCATGTAAGTTTTTTTGAAAAATTTAAGAAAGTTTCTATTATTTTTAATATTGATATTATTTTATAGAATCTTGAATTAACGGAAGAAATTGAATGTTTAAGAGAAAGAGAAAGATTACTTTCTGTAATGGATTTGATTTCCAACATTGAGCTCTGATTCTTGAAATTTTTGTTTCGCTGTAATTAATTACTATGACCTAACGAACGCCATAAATAATATTAACTCACTTATGCACTTAAATATGAGAGTGGTTATATTGATGGAAAGATGATTAAATAAAAAAGATTATTTTCCTTTGCGTTGTATAATATTAACATTTATTTATTTTAATGATATAAGAATATACGATAATGAAATGAAGAAGGTACATTGTTTCTAAGGATCTTATAAAAAAAGACTTTTATGCGTTTAATTTTTTTATTTGCAAAATTTTGGTGGAGTATATTCTTTGGGAAGTATATTTTATTTTTATTTATTTATTTATTTTTTTATTCAGATATTCACTTTTGTATTTTATTAATGTTAGAATAATCGAGCAGGTCCTCTTGAGTGGGGTGACACAGTGATAGAGGATTTGTCCCGATTAAATTAAATGTTTATACGGGTTCTCCAGAGTTATGGTAGGTACAACTAGGGATGTGAATTTGAATTACTATTCACGTCTCTAGTTAACAATGAAGGAAACCCGTCTTTATGGTCACGAAAGAAATTTATCTTACGGTTACGTTCGTTTTACGGTCGCGGCAATTAATTACAACGAAGAGACACGTATTTATTCGCACGGTATGAATTTAATATATCTTTTTTCATTTAAGATTAATATAACTCCCTCTTAGATTTAAGTGCAGAAGTGATTTAATATAGTTAGTATCATTATCAGTTAAATTTAAACCTAGTATATTTATTTTGTCACTTTGATATTACTGTTATATGAATTACATTATTATAAAATTTGTATGCTCTAATCTATATTTGATACAAAACATCAATAAATACGATAAAAATAAGCATGAATTTGTCATTATATAAAGACAAATTATGTTAATTAATAAAGCTTACAATCTCTTTAAACGTGCTCCTGATAAATTTAATCCATGATTGCAACGCACCTAGAAAATGTGTACCAGGTTGGGATCGGATGATCGACCGGAAAGATAGGTCGGAATGATATTTAGATTTTCATATCCTTTTTCGAAATATTCCATGCTGTTAAGAGGTTAGTTAATATCACCAATGATATGTTTTAAAAACTTTTCAACAGGTATTATATGCTTATTTAGATCTTTATTGCTATTTAATTATAAATAAATTTTGAATTATTATGAATAAAATACAAAAATCTTCTTTAAACGGCTGAACATTGCTTATTTTCACAGTCATTGTAATTTTCAACTTGATACTGATAAATTAACGGAAATATTTGCTGAAGCGGTATAGATAGGTTCGATATATTTTAGGTTTGGTTTGATGGTTCTTGTAATTACAGAATTAACGGAATAACAGCTTGTTCACAACATTAAAAACGTGTTTATAACAAGTTTTGCATCTCTACTTTTTTTTTTCAGAAAAAAAAGACACGAAAATATTATGCTAACGCTAATAACAATATCTTTTATGTAATGTTTAACATGATAATGCAAATACGTAATTTTGGTTTCCAGTTCAACAAGATTCCTCATCACAGTCGAAGTAGGTCAAAAATTAAAGTTTAGCCGCATCAACTTAAAAAAAATTCGTGTACAAAAAAAAAATATTAATCTAAGATGAAGTATAATACATAAAAGATTAGAATTTTAGTAACTATAACCACACCGGTGATGATCACCACCGGTTATTCTAACTAAAATTCAAAAGATTAATCACAAAAAGTACAGTCAGAAAATTATTGTCGCGGCTGAAGCTGGAAATGGCTGAAGCTGGAAATCAGATAAGCTGATTTAAAAAAATACGTCCTACC